TCAATTTATTATGACAAAACTTAAAGATTGTCCAAAGGTGAATCAAACACGACAGTATAAAAAAAACCTCCATACCATACCATATGGTAAAACATCCGCGTTTCTAACTCTGCAAACACCAACTTTTATATTTCATCTTGACAAAACAAATGAACAACTTTCTGTTGACCGTGTCGTTGATCAACCGACTAGTTGACACAGCGGTGGTGTAACTCTGAACGGATATGTTTCCGAGTGATTGTAAGTTATCTTTAAACGTGACAAACACATATGTGTGGATCAGTGTCAACACTCCGAGGCCTTCTGGTACATGTTGACAAGCAAACCCTAACGACCACACACACACACACACTCTTTCGGGTTCAAAGACAGCGGGGCATTAGAGCTAAAAGGGGGTAAATAATTAGGTATCGGACACGAACACACAGCTGATGTTAAAGATGCCCGTCTGTAGGACACAGTGTACCCGGGCGTCGGTGAGCTAACTCGCTCGCATGGCAGAAAGTTGGAGGACTGGTCAGCTAAGTTGAGCAGCGTTTTACTTCCAGAGCAGGTCGACAAACAGCGGACAACACCATCAGCTCAGCCTGAACTGTGCAGCGTGGGAGTCGTGGCATATCCCGCCACAGTTCGCGCCCACGCACGGCCAAACGCAAACTTTCCCCCCAGCGGTAATCGTTTGGTGTGAAATAACCAAACATCACATGAGCTGCTAGTTTGTTTCCCTGCTAACGTTAGCTAGCCCTACACGGTAGCCAGCTAACGGTAGCTAACCATGGGGTAAAATTCAGACTTGTCGTGTTGGAGTTACACTTTAAATCCCGACCGATATGCATGTTCGGGATGTGGCGAGTGGTGACATCTACAACACGATGTATCACATTAAAACATTGTGGTTTTATGGCCAAGATGTGGAGTAACTGACCTCTCCCTGCTTACTGGGACACCGCGCCTCCTTCCCAGCGACGCCATGTTGGAGATACAACCGTGATTGCAGTTGACGTATGACAGCACCGGGCCTTCTGGGTAATGTAGTGTGTCAACGCAGTCGACACATCGCTCGGATTCGAAAGCGGACTACTATTCCCATGATGCTATAAAGACAGAGTACCTGCCGTTACGTATTTTATAATAGCACACAGAAGTTTGAGAGGTCAGAGTATATTGTAAATAAATGTAACACAAAGGAACAGAGGTATTTTTGGTTAAAACATAATAATTACTGTAGTAGAACATCAAATAAATACAGCCGTTTATTTATTTATTTAAAAACGGTAATAGTGCCACTAGCTTGCATCGGTTACAGCACGCTGTCTACAGTTTGTAACACAGTGTCCTATCCATCTGTTTTAGTGCCTTTATACCCGGGTACTCACCCATACTGAGCCTCACACAGTCTGTGTGTGTAACCCGATGAGTCTCTGTGGATGTGACAACTGTAATGGCCACGTTCAGGAATGTGAGATCAGCTGAAACCAAACACTGCGCCGGTGACAACAATTGTACCAGCCTTATTGTCCAGGGACCCAAATGACGCATGCATGGCGGGTTAATACAAATCCAATCAATCAATTATATCGGTGGTGCAATCTTTAAAGCTGTGAGTTTTGAATGATGTCTAAAGCATGGTTGCTCGCACATATTTAACATATGACCGAGGATCCTTTCAACTGATGGAGGCTATTTGGAGGGACAGAACATGCTTATGTGTTGGGAGGTAAATGATTCATCAATTCATGTTTTAATTATTAATCTACTACTGCAACCATGCTGTTGATTAATCAAGAATGGAGAGAAGTGGTCCAGTCACAGCATCAAATTCTGGTGGAGGGACCCTTTATGGGTATTGGGTATACATTATTTTAAAGTATTGACAACTATAATGTATTGATCGTTGGTATCGGATGCCAGATTGAAAGTAGAAAACTTTTATAACTTGTTTTTATAACAAATAGATGATATTATATTATAATGATATTAGTGCCCATAATTAGGTTTTTGTTGGCTCAAAACTAGTCAAATACAAGAATATTATTTTTAAATATCTTATTACCTATGGCTCTGGTTGGTCATAGAGAGTCTTTTTGAGATTTTCTGTAGTTGATCAAAGTCCTGAAGACTGTGGGTGTCACTCCATCTCCCCATTTGAGGAGTAATCAGCTCTGCAGCATATGACACACAGCCTCTGTGGTTTTGTTTATCTGGTGGTGGACCCTGTTTGGTCAAGTAATGACTGTGTGTGAGCACTCAACCCTTCAGTACCTAGTTTATAAAACAAATACACAGACCCAATTTAATTTGGAACCCCAGCTAGTTATTTTTTTAACCTATTAAGTTTCCATGGATCAAAATTTACAGTGAAATCAAAACACTGCTCATTGTTCTGCTGACCCAGAGCTTTGAATTACTGTCCACCAATGTCATTCTTGATACCGTCACCAGATGGTGGCAAAACTCACCACAGCGAAATTCATTTACTTTAAACTGGTGCTGTTTGTTGCAGGAAGTTAACACAAGTTTATTAAGAGATGATAGACTTAAAGTTACCAAGCTATACATATATAGTTAGTATGTAGACAGTTGTATGTCCTAAAGTAACTCTTTGACTTACTGTAGCCCTACATGTGGTAATTATTCCACCTTGCTTTAATGTGTTCATCTCACAAAGTAAAAGTGTTTTAAGGGGGAAAATCAAGATATTTTCCAAACAACTTAAACATAGAAACAAACACCAGAGCCCTCACTGAAACATATTCTTGTTAAATTATATCTTAATACAATACTGATGAATGCACAGTGTCTAAAAATGTATTGCAAAGTAATAAATCTTCTCTTTAAAGTTGGCTGTTTGGACATCTTCCTGCTACATAAATACAGACATTGAAATTAATAATGTGATGAGTACTTGATTTATTTATTTATTTATTTATAGACAACAATGGAAAAACAAAAATGTCTCAAGCACAAAACATTATAACAAGGATTGGTACATTTTGACGCATTTAGTAGAGCCACCTGCTCAATGCTTCCTTTCAATAAAACACACAAATATAAACACAAAAAATGAAATAACACCTTGAATACCTTGGCCTATGAATAGGTGAGTGTCACCTAAAGGAACATTTTATAAAGGGAAAGTGGTTTCCTGCATTTACCTCTAAGTGATTAGAGCAGATAGAGTCTGCCTTGCATTGGATCTGGTCTGTCCTGCCAGAGTGTGTTGAGTAACCTGAAGTGTTTTTCTCCTCAACACTTAAGATTGTCAACAGCAAAAAGCTCCTGAAGAGCCAAAAAGAGAAACCAGTCATACTTTTTATTTCAGTTGTCAAGTTTTCTTCTATGATGACCTTTATCATTTTGACACGAGCTGGCAAAAGAAACCTTGTGGGTAAGAAAGAAAAACAAAAAACAAAAACAAAACAGATCAAATGACTTTTGAGCTTCGACCAACCAGCGTCATTTCCCTGAATGACAGTACAAAAGGATAGTGGACACTGTGGATTGTAATTGCCCTGAATGTAGCAGTGCTGTGTTTAAAATGCTGGTTTGAGCTAAAGATATTTATCCATAGCCACACTGAGGCGTTGTACCACAGTGACAAGCTCCAGACCCAATTTATCACGTGTGTTGATAACATTTAACATGTACAGTAAGGAAAATAATGAGTTTTGTCTTGAGGCAGGATTGCAGCTCCAGAGTTCGACATCCTCAGTTTGTGTTCTTTGGTTTACAAGTCCCTGCATCTTTTATTAATCGATTATGACTCCGATAATGGACAGCTGCTGGAAGAAAGGGAAGTGGATACAGTAACGCTGGAGCACAAATTGAGAGTTTGGTAAAATGAATGTCTGCAAAATATAGATTATATTTTTTTAAAATGACCCTTTACCCACCAAATGTATGCCGACACCTAAAATAAAAGAATTAAAAGAAAAAGACAAAAACAAAGCATAGAATATCAAAAGTGAGTCAAAATATAAAAGTCATCACAGTTGGAGCAACGGTGAAGTCATCATTGCTCCACTCCAAACTATTGCAGAGAAAGACACCTGGGTTGGTCATCTTGTAGCGCTGCTCACGACCAGTGAGTCCACAGGAGGACAGAAAATTTGCAACATACGATTTTGACTCACATCTGTTCTCATTACATGCCTAACCCTTGCTCCCAGCCAGCGACTGGTATACGTCCTGAAGGTTTCTGTCTGAGGTAACAGGGCTTCAGCTTTGGTTAGTTGATTCGCTCATGGTTTTACAAGTCGTGACCAGCTGATTCACTTCCTGTTTCTGGTGACTGAAAGTGAACTGACCCGTCGACCCAGCGTTCAGCTCACGGACGTCTTTCCCCGTGAGATCATTCATCTCCAGAGTCGCTCAATGTCATGTTTAACAATGCCTGGAAGGTCCTTTGTTGTATTGTCATTCTATAACTCCAAAGCATGCTGCCAAACAGTATTTATCACCTAGGAGTCTCTTTCTCCTTCTTTTCTGTCAGAGCGCCATGTAGGGTCATTGATAAATATGTTCAAAGTACTGAGGCTGAGGATTCTCTTTGACATATTTCTGAATGTACCAGCAGGTCAAGTGGGCTTTCAGATCCTCTTCCACCACAAAATCCATCGCTGCCTGCCATCACAGAAGCACAAAATCACATTTAAATTGTTCTGACAGGCATTTCATACGGACATTGTGGTCATTTATTTTTATGTGTGTGTTGTATCATTAGGAATGTGAGAAATGCAACCGTGTGAGCTGTGCTTGAGTATCCCAGATATATCTAAATAAACAGTTTCTATCCTTTAAAAGGTTTGTTATGTCAGAAATTTGAAAAAAGGTAGAATCTGTAAATATAAACACCATTAAGACATACTTAAGATTTATATGTTTGGGCCTTTAAGACATAAACAGAAAGAGAAACTCTGATGAACAAAACCCTTTTACCTTGGCCAGGTGCTTGGCTATTCCTCTCCCTCTGTAAGCATCTGGAACTTCAGTGTGTTGCAAGTCCACCGTCTTCTTCCCAACGTATTCGTACAGAAGAACCGCACGATCATGAGATCCTGAGGGCAGACAGAAGTGGAAGCTCTCAGTTAGGTGTGTGTGCACCCAACCCTCTCCTACAGCGTACAAACGCCAACCTGACACCACCTTGCTAAGGGTTACTCATAATACTTGCATACGATTGTCAATGTTTAAGGGCAAAGCTAATATAGCATGTTAATAAAAAGTGCTCAGTGTGAATCAACCACGAGACACAAAAACTTGTGGCATGCCAGCTTCCTCGTACATGTAATACAATCTTATGCTCTATTAAGTATAAAATATTGGAATATTGAGTGTGAGCCCTCTGCCTAAGTTATGGATCCACTTGTAGCAGCTTCCTGTCTAAATACAATATTGCAACATGGCTGCTCAATATGACATGGCATGAGTAATTTGACCTCAAAACAAGAGGGTCACTGGTTTGATACCATGTGATGTGGTGCACAGTCAGTAGCCCATAACTTCAAGAAAATAAGACGTCAGCTGGCCATGTATAGACAAGTGCTGGGCAAATGAGAAAGGATAATGTAGCTTTAAGTGGAGAGAGACAGAGTTTGATAAAGATCTTCATTCGGGGAACAATGGCTTCCAGTTTTTTTGCTGTAAACACGTCTCACTGCTCACTGGGCTGTAATGATCGAGATCATCTACATAACTCACATAAAACATTCAAACACCTGTATTTTAGTTTCATAAACCAAAAGGTTCACAGGCCAAAAACAAAGGCTGAGACAGTTTAAACAAACAGAAGAGCCACAGCCCAAATATGGGTCTGACTGATCAAAGGCAGCTTCACACAGAAGAATAATGGATGTCTTTGTGAGTGAATGCTGTTCAAGGTTTCATATTTGGCTTCCAGGAAAGAAACGATGAAAATGTTGTCGTCGTGCCACAACAACAAGCCGAGGAAGTCAAAGCACTTAAGTCTGTTCAGCTCATGACACGAAACACCGCCTGAATACAGCCGTGACATTCCCACTGTGTGAGATGAATAACACCTCTGGGTCCGGAATGGCAGCTGGAGTTATCAAAGAGGACACGACGACGATGCTGGCAGCGAGGAAAAGGCTACACCAACATCTGAGCTAACATTAGCCAGCTAGCACGCTAATGCTGCCATGTTGAACTTACCATTTAGTCTTATAACAAACTGCCGACGCTTTTTATCGTGCTCCACTTGGATCTGAGAGGTGTTTGGGTCGAAAGCATGAGCCTGTGCTGCCTGTGCTGCCTGGGCCATGGTGGCTCGCTACGGTGGACGACGGTGGCTATGCTACTCTACAGCGAGGCTAACCAGAAATGGCTACATGAACATGAAGATGATGAACGGTCAAAGCAAAACACTTCATCCAACGAAATCAGCTGTGAGGTCAGGTGACATCCAGCCAATCAGCGCCGGGGTTGTCAGAGCGGGGGGGGCATTATTGTAATATAAGTTACACACAGGTATAATATACAAGAGTTCAGAAAGCTATTATCACTGTTTAAGGACAAAGTGGCTTGAAAGCACCAAACTTTAAAAGAAACAGCAAATGTTTCACATGCTGCATTCAAGGACTGTGGGAAAAGTTTCACTTCATTATTCCCCGACGTGCTTAGTTAAATTGTACAAAGGTGAGGTTTATCGGTTCAGACCTGGCGAGAGAAATAGTTATTTTGGTTGAACATGAATTGATACATGATGAATACATCAGAGCTCCTGGAGTATATCCACTGGGGATTTTAGTATTAATTTAGATTAGATTCAACTTTATTGTGATTGCACAAAGTACTAGTACTAAGACAACGAAATGCAGTCAAATATCTAACCAGATGTACAAAAAGCAGTAAAGTGCAGAGTAATGTGCATATGTACAGGGATATAAAAGGATATAAAAAAATAACTATAAGCTTTGCTATCATCCTCCTCTCTCCCACCACCTGCACTGAGTCGAGGGGGCAACCCAGGACAGAGCTGGCCTTCTTGATCAGTTTGTCGAGTCTCTTTGTCGGCTGCTGTGATGCTGCTGCTCTAGCAGACCACTCCAAAGAAAATGGCTGATGCCACAACAGTGTCAAAGAAGGTCCTCAGAAGATGAGTGAATGAAAAAGAGGGGCTTGAAGTGAACTGGGGTGGAGAGAGGGGTGTGTCGAGAGAGTGGGCGAAAGTTTGAGGAAGAGTGAAAGGGAAAGAGAAAGAGCGTAAATAATCACCAGTGGGGTTTTTTTTTTAAAGAAAGACCTGTTCAGTGAGCAGAACTAACATGAACTAAGTACCACAGACTCTCAACAAAACCGACAAATGTCTGCATACAATGACTCTATGATCCCCCCCCCACCCCAGACCCTCTGACTCTCTCACCACCTCTTTCTGAAATACTCATCAGCTCTAAAGTCGCTGAAAAAGCAACTATATTTAAAGACTGCCCTACAGTTGGCTAGACCTCTCTCTCAGTGTCTGCTCTCTGGAGACTGCAGAGTAGTCTAATATTTGATTAGCATGACACTGATTCATGATGGGGCTCCTTAAGTGGCAGTGCCAATATCAAAGTGAAGTCTTCCTGGAATCTGATTGATTTGTTTTGACTTTAAATACTCAAAGGTCCAGTGTGTAACATTTAGAAGGATCTATTGGTAGAAATGCAATACAATATTCATAGGTAGTTTTTTTAGTTTTTTTTACAGAAGGCTGCCACGTTGAACCCCCATCTTTCTACAGTAGCCTAGAATGAACAATCCAAACACTAGCCTAGATAGGGCCTCTCCTACAGGATTGGGAGGTGAGGGGTATTCAGTTGGTTGCAATCTGCAACTTCACTAGATGCCACAAAATCCTACACACTGGTGCTTTAAACACCGTACTTACACAGACTGATGACACATTACAGGAAGTCATCATCAAGACACCAAATGAGGGAAGATCTTTTCTTCATCCCTTCAGTAGATATCCACTGACTTAAAGAAGACGACTGACCAAAGAAAATTCTCAGCACATAATCCAAGTCATAGTTTCTGAAACTTTCGACCACATATCCCTCAGCACACTGAGTTGCTAATTGTCATAGAAATGCTTTAGTTGTTACCACCTGACATTAGTATGGGATTTTGTTCACATTGCAACAGAGACAAGAAGTGCTTTAGACTGTGTGGTGATTATTTTTGGGGCCAGGATGTTGCAGTCTTAACTCCTAAGTCACTCTCAAGCACTCTCTTATTGAGAAACTTTATTTTGGTGTTTCCTTGTGTTACTATTTAGACTATTAAACCAGCATATTTATGAGGATGACACTTCCTCACTAAGCATCCTGTTTTGATTAGACTGTATTATAATATATCAAAACGCAGTAGAATCTGTAGAATCTCAATAGACTGAGACTAACTGGCAGTTGCTTGCTGCAAGTACAGAGATGGAAATTGATGTTTGTGTATGGATCAGATTAGGCAGCACTGAAAGTGCAACCAGGTGGCATGGAGCTTAAACAGCAAACTATAGCAGTCATCTATTTAGCAAAATTGAAAATAGTAATCCATCACATTGTGCAGTCAGGGCACTCAAGCTGGAGTAAAATTATGTGCCTGCTCTCAATTTCATCTGATAAATCCATTAATAGTCACGACAACAGCTGCATAGAGCTGTTTTTTCATAGCACCGTACCTAAAACTACTTCTCTGTGGTTCCAAACATGAGAAAATGTACACAACGTGAGTTTCTGAAGGCCTTTTAGTGTTGACTTCAGTTTTAAAGGTCACAGGGTTGAAGACTACCAAGCAAAGTCGGGCTCAGGTAGAAAAAGCAATCTCATTCAAAAGATGTAGTTTAGCATAACACTGTCCAGAAGTATTAACCTCAGTCTTAGTTCAAGTGGTCACCTCTCTTGACCTTAGCATACTGTGCAATACTTGACCTTTGCTCGTTCACTGCGTGGAGAGATCAATAAGCATTAGGCAATTTACTTGAAGGGAACACGCAGTCAACATAAAAGTCCTGAGGTAGAGGATATGTAATTCCAGAAGTGGATGGTGTAGTTTACAACCCCCAGAAGTAGGAAAGGCAATGCTTTGGTGTCCCACACACTCTGGAATTAAGGAGAGTATAGTCTACCCATCCATCCATCCATCCATC